CTTATCCTCCGAGTCATCATGGGCAGAGCTTGGAGTAAGGAGACTGGCCGGCCACAAAGGACGACGATCAAGTTCTCTCCTGACAGTACCGACGCTGCTTGTCGATTTGTTGAGGAGAGTGCAGGACCTGTTCATTTACAGGTGTTGTCAAACGTGTACCTTGCGGACAGCGAGAGCAAGGTGTGAAGATAACGAGGGTGTTGCCGGTTGCGTAGGAAGACGCGAAGGTCGCATGGAACGCATGCCTAAAGTTGTGCTTCTGCGAGTCATGCTTGAGACCGGCTGGGTTCCGTATCCATGTTCAGGAAATCTGGCACCAAGAATAGCCGACGGGAATCCCTCGGTCCGTTGTTCGTCATCAGTATGATCATGTATGATAGTGCCATGGACAATATTGCATTGTTGCCAATGGTATGTTTACACTATTCAAGGCCTCGGAGATCAACGCTAGCGTCACGGAGCCTGTTTGTGTTCTTCAAGCACAGGTCCTCTCCGCGGAAGTCTGGGGATGCTGATGTGACTGCGGGGTTCAACAAAGAGCTGCGGTGTTGGTCCAAAGCACGATTCGAGGCTTGAAGGTTTTGTCATCTCTATGATTGAGTGAAACGTTGAGGCGCTGTCGCTGTTGACATGGAAGAGAAACTGGGTTGCACCCAACCGACATAGGCGCTATAGATCCAATGAGATGCGGCGTTTCGGGTGAGAAGGACTGGGTGACTGGCAAGTTGCAAGAGTCTCCGAGTCCGATCAGTGTCAAAGTCACCTCCGTTTGGCCTGATTGGGAATTAGACTTTAGCGGCGGTCTTTGATGTTCAAGCGCTCGCTGGGCTTCTAAGACGAGGCGGAGGGCAACAGCCTTTTTTTTCGTATCTTCTTGTTTCTGTTGAGCCCTCATCTCCGTTCAGAAAGCTACATCAGATTCTCTTGTCTGTAAACTCAGACGTGTATATAAACTCAAGGGATCCCCATCAGTATCTGCAAGACTCCTCTCTTCCTCCTCCGCACTGCCCGAGGCCAATCATCTTGACCGCAACCGCACAAAAATGACCCAACCAATACATTCGACACTAGCATCCTTCCCTGAAGAACTCCTGGTACGCATACTAACACTTTGCGTAACACCACCACCAGTTCTCCCATCCCGACCTATATGGGACATCGTCCCTCCACCCACTCCAGCAGCCTTCTCCCCCATACCCCGCAACCTACCACCTCGCAACCGTCTTGCACCGTTACTCGTATCACGTCAATTCCTGCGAATTGCCTCCCCTCTGTTCTACCACACTTTGCACCTCCAGTCAGCCAACCAGGCTACTCAGGTCCTCGAGACGCTGAGGCATCATCCCCCTTTGGCCAATGCGGTGCGGAGAGTCGTCTTTGGTGGCATCTGGCGTGACAGTGCGGCTGTGCTCACGCTCTGTGAGCGCGTGGACGATGTCGACATTTGTCTGGACAGCGGCCCCGATCACTACGGCTCACCGAGGCCCCTGAACGTTTCCTTTGGCAGTGGCGCTAGTGCTAGCGACGTCGATGCGGAGGCCTTCTGCTTCGCATTGGAGCAGAAGGACACTATCATGCATCTTACGATACGTAAGGACCCCGCTGCGTACCTGACTCATCCTCGCCCGCAGTATGTACTGGAACATCTGGCACGGGTCATACATAAGTGGTCGAACCTTGTAAGTGCTACAGGATTATCATTCGCGTGTTGAATTGACCTGTTACATGATTTTTCAGGAGTCCATTCACCTCGCTTTGCGTATCTCTTCATCTCCATTCACTCTCCCCCTTGCACAAGCTCTGAGCGAGGCACCCCGCCTACAGTCTGTACGCGCACAGCTCCCCGCTGTTTGGAACAATCTCCTCCTAGTCATGTCATCCAATCCATCACTCGAAAAAGTGACCCTCTACTCGGAACCCATGCTCGGCGTTGCCCATAACAGAACGACTCCAGGGTCATCGGTGATTAAAGCAGCGTGTACCGGTATCGGTGACAACGAGAACGCGATCCTGGCTACCGGGTTGTACATGATGGAGACGAAGAAGCATGCGAGACTCTCGGAACTCATCAGGGCTGGAACGTAAGACACCTCCTTTATATATATATTTTTCTGGGAAATTTTTGACGGTCCTTGCTGTTCTTATAGCTCGATTATCCGAACGAGAGCCCACACCACAATCGCAACTGTCTCCAGCCTGCCAGTTAGCACCGCGCTGTTGAGCGCCAGCAGAGCTAAGCAGGTGGCTGTCAGGTTGCTGACCAACCGCCACAGTCTCGCTATGCCAGCAGCGCTGCCGTCTGCTGCCATCGGTGCGGCACAGGAAGTCTGATGGATCTCGGAACGACCCACCGGGGCGTAGTTATACCATGCATACAGGATTGCAGTATATTTCTATTTCATGGCCTTTGATACCCTAATTACCATGGCATCTCGTCCATGACACATCAGTTTCATGGATTTTTCTTAATTGGCGACATCTCGAAATTCTTTATTATTCACGCGTCTCATTTTCTTGTGCCCGTTGTGTGCGCCAGCCCGCGCGCTATCGTCCTAAATGGACGTGATTGCGTGGCAATATCATATACAACTACATAGACGATGTTTTGAGCAGTCTGGCATCTATTTTATGATTAGACGTGTCCTTTGTGCGACAATTACGATGTGAAGCACAGAGCACCCGACCACAACCAGCTTTCGAGCTGTAAGAAAAGATCTATATCAGAGTAACTCACCAATCAAGGTATGAAATATATGAATGTCAGTGCTCCGGGATTTGGGGGAAGCTCTGGAAAATTGATCCTGCAACTCACGTCGTCGCCGAGTTTAAATTTCCATCGCTTGTCAACAACCGATACGTATCAACTCGTGAATAATTTCCCTACGTACTGTGCCCAACGATGGTGGTGAGAGAGCTGTACGATGGGCATGCCAGTGACAGTTGAAGAGGGCAGTAGTCCGAAAAAGGCATGTGCTGTAGAACCATCACGGTCGTTGGTCCTGTCCAAGGTAAGCTTTGAAGCTTGACCAAGCCGCTCACCCCAGCACAATCTTCCGCTCCACTCATCCAGGGCCAGTCTCACTCCTCCTGGCGCTATAATTCCACCTCATCTCTTCCTAGTCTACCTTTCCATTCAGAGAACGACTACCTACTAGGACACCCATCGAACGAGCGTTTGATCTCTGTTAACGCGCTCCATGAACTTCTTCAAGACTAAACCACGAACGCCGCCTGACCTTGTACGTGGACTCCGGGATGCTATTCCAAAGCTAGAGTCTGGTGCACCGGGAAGTGAGACAAGGAGAAAGGTGACCGAATTCTTCAAGACATCCTTGTCATGTGGTTTTACTCAAAACCATCCGATCGCGTTGTTCAGGCGAGCGAGGAAGTGTCGAGGAATCTTCAAGCTATCAAGGGAGTACTGTACGGAGACGGAGGTGCGCTGATCTTTGGTCTAGATTTGTCACACCCAATCCTCACGCTTACCCATAGAACCTGTACCCGAGCTTATTGCCCAACTCGCGCAAGAGACATATTCGACCGACTTACTCCTTATTCTCGTGCAAAATATTGCACGTCTTGACTTCGAGTCACGGAAGGATGCCGTCCAGATATTCAACAATCTACTACGGCGCCAGATTGGCGCCCGCTTGCCCACTGTTGAATATATCTGTGCAAAACATGAAGAGGTTATCTTTGCTGCTCTTGCGGGGTATGGAAACGAGGAGATCGCGCTGAACACTGGCATGGTTCTGCGAGAGATGTTGAGACATGAGCAACTGGCGAAGATTCTGCTTTATTCCGAACAGTGCGTATCCTCTCTTTTATGGGTATCTGTGGCTAGCTAACACAACGTCAGATTTTACATGTTTCCACATCACATAGAGACAACATCTTTTGGAGTATCATGTGACGCATTTGCCAACTTGAAGGAGACGCTGACACGGCACAAGGCTATGGTGGCAGAATACCTCGACAAGAATTACGACAGAGTGGGTGGCCTGGCATCCCATCATCCTGTCAAGTCCTGACCTTTGGTGATGACAGTTCTTCGCGTCCTTTACTACTCTTATTATCTCCAATAACTACGTTACCAAGCGACAATCCCTTAAACTCCTCGGTGAAATCTTGCTCGATCGTGCAAACTTTAGCGTTATGACACGTTACATCTCCCAAGAGGCAAACCTCAAGATGATGATGAACATGCTCCGAGACAAGAGTAAGAACATTCAGTTTGAGGCTTTCCACGTCTTCAAGGTCAGTGTTTTTGTTTCTGTATGATGGGGATCGATGTATTCGACATCCATCTTTGACATAGGTGTTCGTCGCCAACCCAAAGAAACCACCTCAAATTGAAGAAATATTGCGAAGAAACAAAGAGAAATTGCTGGCCTTCTTGAGGAACTTCCACAATGACAAAGAGGATGAACAGTTCAGTGTACGTATAGATGTCTCAGCTTAATCGAGGCCAGCCGCTGATCGTTCTCGCGCTCCAACAGGATGAGAAGCAATTCCTGATAGTCCAAATCCAGAGTCTGTAGTGCACATGCCGTGTTTCTTGTCTCTCCTAGTTCCCTCGTACACATCCCACCCGACACCTGTTGTGGTCCCACACTCGGCATTTCGTATCCTTATCTACTAGCTCTCATCAGTTCTCACATCGCAAACATCCAGCGCATACGTCGTATGCTGTATCACTGCTGATTCGACCCATACATATCTAGCAACTGTGTGTATCGTATCGTATGTCGTCACTCCCAGGATTGGCGTGACGTGTACGCATTGTACTTTTTCTTACAGTATATCGTTGTCGAACATTGGCCAGGTCTTGACATTGTTAGGTCGGTTCTCTTTGAGCTTGTGTTCACAGGCTGGCACATGAGTGGATGGAATAGCCTAGCCAGTAGAGCTTTTAGGCATGGTTTACTAAAGCCATAATCAGCCGAGCCTCTGTCGCTGCATCAATGTTGTGAGGGTCAAAAAAGAAAGAAAGAAAATCCCTCTCTGGCGGGGAGTCGAACCCCGCTCTTCCGCGTTACTATAGTCTAGTGACAGGCGGATGTACTATCCGATATACTACCAGAGATTGGAAGTCGGCAGGCTTATTGAGATGATGATGCAGATGATTACGAGCACAAGTACAATGTATACATGCTGACGACAGTACGAAAATGGGGTATTATTTCCAGTCCAAATGATTACACTTCACCAATTCTCCAACGTCACCTGGGCGCACTCCTGAAAAATGTTTAGTCTCAGCTTCCCGCGCAGTCCAGTTGGAACTGACCTTCAGTCTTGCCAAATTATGCACGATTGCGACGTTCAGGACCGTTCTCAGCTTCCTCCTGATTTCCGCTTTCCCGACTGTTAACTGGTACGACCCCGAGCATTGACAGTATCGCGACACATTATCCGGGCGCACTTGTTTACACTTTGTGCAGCGAAGGTCTTGCTGCACAAATGCCCTTTCCATCGCACCGACCATCCGCAGGAGCTCCATCTCTATCGCAGCTCGGTCGTATTCACCTCCGCATCCCCCGCACGTCCACCTTGGGGGTCCAACATCCAAACCATTCGACATGAGCTCCGAGTCTCGACAGAAGTCAAAGTCTCGAAGCGCATCACAAAGTTTGCAAGGGACATTAGATAACTTCAACGTTTCGCAGGGATTTCGGAATATTGCTTCATTAGCGAATTCCCGAAAACCTGCCAAGTCAAGTAGGTTGCGTTTCAAGAGTCCGATTTCCACTTGGTAGTCTTGGGCAAGGCCAAGTACTGCGCAGGTAAACTTGACGAACTCAAGCACAGGGTTGGTGAAGGTGAGGTAAGAGCCAGGATGTATTGGGAACATGAACTGATTGTGGAGCTCCTCATCGTACGCCGAATCTCTGTGCTTGGATTGAGCAGCACCTACGACTCTCAGAAGTTTCCGGGTGAGTTTCCTGGAGACGAACTCGCGAGTGGCATCTGCCTCGTTCACTTTTCCAGCATCTCGCTGTGTGACGTCGGGTGCGAGGTTCTGCAGCACTCGAAGAGGAGCCCGCGAAGTTTCGTTCGTCTTCTGTCTGATCTTGTAAAGCTCGACGATGAAATATTGGATGACGGCGCTGAAGTCGTCCTGCATGGTAGGTGGGAGGAAAGTCTGAATGTTCCAACGCATTTCGATAGTGAGTTCTTTTGGAGAATCGACAGCCAAAGGGTCCTCGCAAACCACACCTCCCAGGTTTGCCGAGTCCATGAACAACAAGAAGTCATAAAAGCGCTCCGTTTTGAGATAAATGTGTTGGAACAATTCGTGGGACGTGACCGCTGTAGTAATATACGTCGCATAGGCGTGTGCGGTTCCAGGTGGTTTCGAAGTCGCAAGTAATATTCGGCTGAAGTCGGCATAAACGACCAGAGAGCCAAGCCGTTTGAATTCAGCAAGCATCTGTATGAATGTTTTCCGCATAAGTCCATGGACAAAACGGTGGATACTGGGATCGTGAAGGTGGGAAGCGCTCGTGCTGATCCAGCGCCAGAAATGATCGATAGCTAAGGTTGCAGGGCTCTCGAAGTTACCCTGGATTTTGTCAAGGAGCCAAGCCTTGATCATCGACTTCAAGATGCCGAACGTGAAGGCCGAGACATTCGACTCCCCAAGCGTAAGATCACGCTGTGCTTCGCCTCCAGAGTACTCGTTCAGCGTACGGGATACAGAGTCAAAGGCCGTTGCACCACCGCTCCCTTCAAGCTCGTTGACTACCACAGAGTGCAGCACGGAATTGACGGCTAGATTACGCACTGTGACCTCTAAGCACACGTTGGAGTAACATCCGGGGGTCATAAATTCCGTGTTCTGCAGCTCTTCCACAGGCCGGTTGTCCGCCTCTCTGCCGCCCAGATCAGGCCTTTCAGTGGGTGACCACCAAAGAACAATATCCTGCTGTATCAGCCGCCGTGCGAAGCTGATATCAGACAAAAGCAGAGGCTGGTCCCCGTCGATGTGCCCAATAGGAACGTCATAATAGTCTGCAAGAGCAATCGAACGATCGAGCCATAAACCGAGCGAGAGGTAGCGCTGCAGCATCTTTTGAGCCACGTGCGTTTGCCATGGAAAGACGTCGAGGGAGTGGGGAATTTTTGCTTTCGACATAGACAGGACCGGAAATTTCGACAACTTGGAGACCCATGTGTCGAAGTAGACCTGCTGTTTCGACGAGGAGATGATGATCATGTACGACATATTCTCTAGGAGTCCGAGCTCCCGGGAAATTGCCTTGAGTGCCGTAGTATCCTTGTTGTGGTATGTGGTCGTGAACTCGCAAAAAGTGGGGTACTGGATTGAAGCTGGATCTCCGTAGAGATCTTGGCGTTTCTTCGAGAGGTCAGCGTACAATTCTTGCAAACGCGGTATTCCCTGCCGGCGCGTCGCAGGGTCAACCAAATGCAGCTTCACAGCTCCACTAGGAAGGAAGAGTGCGAATACATGGATCGGGGCATTATGCGAGCAAGCGTGGTAGAGGAATAGGTATCTACCCCCGCGCCCAGCGTTGAGGTATGATTGTCGAGAGAAAGAGGCGCTGGCGCGATCGAGCTGGCCCAAATCGACGCCACTGCTCTGGGCTCGATTAAGAGTCAAACCCAGTTCATCCACAGTACATGTTTTGCCTAGCTTCAGCAAAGCTCGCATCTCTAGCGGGACCTAGCGTGATTTTCAGCAAGAGGTGCTTGACGTCAATGTCAAGACGTACCTGCCGCTCGAATACACCGTCGACATTCGGATCGTTCATCAAGTCCGTGAAATGTTCTTGAATCTCCTGGTACACGTCCTCCTTTACTACAACCTTATACAAATTTCTGCAAGGTATGTCTCTCGGAAGGTGCCTAACTACCTTCTCGCACTGATAGTACTCCGTGCGAAACAAGCCATCTTTGGGCGGATTCTTGAAATGAAGGTAGAATTGCCGTGGAATACGGAGCGGGACGGGCGTGGGTTCACCGTCAACAGAAACCCATAGCGTGAAGCGACCCGAAATCTTGCTTGGTCGAATCTGCACAACATCCCAGCGCTGCGTTGTTCGCACTCGTGCGCCCTTGAACATGGTAGGGACGATAGCCGACGTGTCTTCACCCCAGCGGGCTGCTCGTCTCTTCCGCCAGCGAAGCTTGATGGCTTTGAGCCACGCAGAATAGTTCGAGTTGGGGTCGGGAAGGGGAGCACCATCTGCGTCGTCATCTTCGTCAGACTCAGGACTTTGCCTCCGCGCGGCCTTGCGGCTCACGACGGCAATACGTCCTTGATCGGGCTTCTTCTGCGTTCCAAAGTCCTCCATGTCTTCTTCCCCGTCCTCCTGTGTCTTCCACGGAGCTCTTGAAAAGAAGTCCGTAACCTTGTTCTGCTTGAACTTGTCCACCGCCCCTGCAACTCTGCGATGCAACCAATCAGGATGTCTGATCCTCGGTACAGGGTTCGACACGCCTTGCATAGCAGCAGGAATAGTGATCAATTTCTGAATCACAGATCCCAACCGCTCGATGTAGTACTCCCAGTCTAATATCGAACGAAGGTCAAAGGTCGTGAGACCAGGGTCCTTGAGCCATTTGCGGAGGTAAGTACGCTTGATAGACTCTTCGGTGGAGAATATTGCGATGGGGACAGCTCGCTCGGTGACAGGAGCACCGTTTGGCTTGGCAGAGATGATGAACTTGCATGCGAGACCTTTATCTTTTACCATTTGGTCTCCGAGGAACTCAGCAAGTCTCCTAGCAGTGCTGATCGACGTGGACTTTTGCCCACCATATTCGGCAAGCGTTTTTGACATGCTTCTGTTCTCGGCAATGAGTTCGACGAGTTCCTCGTGGCTGAGGGTCTCGGCGCGAGAGAAGAGGACGTCGAGCCACTGATTGGCGATGCTTGCTACAGCACCGTAGCATTCTTCAGTGGTGGTACCGAGTAAAAACTTCTCGAAGATCTGGGATTGAAAAATCTTGATGAGCTGGAGCTCTCCACGCCGCTTGACTTCAAAGCCTTTGAGCTCTGCGAGGGATCCGTCGTCGTTGAACACTGCATACCGTTTTTTGAGCAGCTTGTCTTCCTCCTTCGACGAAGGGAGAATCATCGCGCGGTACGGTCCGTCGAGCTCGAAGAAGATGGAGTTCTCGGAGTGTACAACGTATTCCCCGGTTTCCGGGTTGAGGTCGTGGTACTGATGGTTGGTGAACTGCGCGTGGACGAGGTGATTGAGCATCGTACAAGGATATGAGAAGCCTATGGCTTTGCCGTCGTTTAACTTGAACTGGAAGTTCTCCGGGAACACTCCTGGGAGCATACACCAAATACCGTCCGTATCCAGCTCAAGCGGACGCCCGATCTGTTCCACCAACGCACGAGCCATTTGAATGATCGTCGCTCCCGTCAGACAGGTAATCCCCGCCATCTCCATCGAGTGCCAGCGTGCACCTTTGCGCATCACATACCCGTAGAACGAGTTGAGAATACACTTGTGTGCGAGCTGCAAGGAGTCATAGAGCACGATCATCTTCTTCGCTTCATCCACCTCCGCGAGGGAGCGGCCCTCGCTGGTCACAGTATCAAGGTTCTTCTTCCATGTTTTGTGCAGCCCCTTGTATTCGTACCGCCGATCACGGAAACGACGCACGGTGTCGACGTAGAACGGGTTTTCCCGCTGACATACGATCGACTCACGTGTCTCAACCTTCGTGTCCTTGGTCTTCTTGTAGACTTTGCGAGAGTAGTCTCCGAGCCGCTTGTGCAGGAGAGCCGTCTGCTCTGCCTCCGTCAAGTCCACAAACTTCCTTTGCAGTCCCCCAGGCTTCTTCGGTGGGAAGCTCTCCTGATTCAGCGCATGCCGAATCATGTTATACTCGTCCCGGTGGGCGGGAAAGAATTCACCCCTCCATGCCCAGTCCAGCCTCCGATCGCAAGTCTTGCCGGGCCGATTGTAGTCGCACACCGCACACTCCGATTCGTCGACCATCGAATCCGGCTGTAGACGATTCGACAACATGATGTTGGGATACATAGCGGCGACGTCGAGGTGGTAGATCAGAGGTTTGTCTGTGCGCTTTGGATTCTCTCGCATC